CTGTCTAAATCTGCTGCCAGCTCTGCTGGCAGGCCACAACACAGAGACTCTAAATCAATGATGACAAACCTACGACACGTGTACCAAAAGGTGACACACTATGAGACGGGTGACACAATAGCATTATGCAACTCCCAACAGCTATTCTTGAAAGCACACCCTGTACTTGTATGAAGCTGCAGAGACTACCTGAGAATAAGGGTGTGCTCTTTCTATAGCCTCTGGACTCTCTGGAAGTGGCATGAGCACAGGGTGTGCTTTTGCACAGTTTTCAGAGGTTGCAGGGGCTACCGAAGAGGCCTCTCCAAAGCTGCTTTGAGAACAAACGCCTGTCAACGGAAAGAGAACATCGCCTGAAGGTAAGCGGTACGTGGCAGATAACACAGAGTGCTGGGCCTTGGGAGCATTTGATATGCCGAGCCCTAAATGCCATCTCTGCTTTAGAGGCACAACAAAGCACCTGCTGGAAATGCCTTAAAGCGGGGGTCTCCAACCTTGGCAACTTTAAAGACTCGCGGACTTCAAAGCTGGCTGAGGAACTCTGGGAGTTGAAGTCCACAAGTCTTAAAAGTTGTCAAGGTTGGAGACCCCTGCCTTAAAGCAATGTCTTTTCCTGGTTCCTGCAGCTACTGGGTGATCCTGGGAAAAGATACATTTGTTGAAGATTCTCTCAAGGCCACTCAGAACCAACACTTGACCTCAGAAAGTGGACCAACATCCAACCACAATGATAAACACACAATTTGAGTTTAGGGCAAGACGACAGCATCAGGAAGAAACATAAACTGACCCCCACCCATCTTAATTTTCTTGGGAATGACAATTCCCATCCTGCAGATTTTCTACTTTAGAAGTCAAAAGAGTAGAAAAAGGAGAAGGAACCCTACCTGACTCTGGCATATGTTTCTTCATCGTCGGAGGCAATCCAGGCAACATCTGCCAGAGTGGGAACAGGGGGGGTGTCATTGAAATAGAAATCAGAAATGTCTGGTAGTGGCTAGAAGAGAGAAAACACCAACCACATTAGCTAAGCTCAGCACCAATTTTTAAACACTGTTCTATGGAAGGTCTTAACTTTATAAATAACTAGCAGATAACCCGGTGTTGGCCAGCCTTTTATTTATAGGGGGGAAATGTCCGGACCAAAAGTAATTTCTAATGTTGGATTTTCCAACTGTGAAGCCGTTACCCTGGCAATTACACTGCGCTGCACAGTAGAAGCCATTTTAAGGCACAACAGGCTGTATCTTAACAGAACGCATACCATGAGGGGTGTCAGGGGTGTCTTACCCCCACAGTATTTTTCACCAGAGAGTAAGTCATCTGTGTACCATGTTTGGTTGAAACTGCTCGAGGCGTTCTAGAGTTATGCTGGAACATACACACACATAGAGCCGTTTTTATATCTATAGTTTCCTGCTTCACCTTGGGGTCCAGGTTGGATTAGAATTCTAGAAATTACATCTGCCCAATTAAAAAAAGGGTACCGAAAATCAACATCTGGTGAAACTAGAAAAGCAGCATAATCTGAAACAAGCACATCCTCATCCCTCTATCAGACGCTGTCTTGTTCTGGATTCCAGCTGGTCATGCCTTTCGTAGCTATTGTTAAGCTAGGGCAGCAGCCCCCAAAGTTTTGGGCATCAGGGACACGTTCTGTGGTGAGAGGTTTTTCCATGGACCAGAGAGGGTGTGGTTTTGCATGCTTCCTGCATCCCACGGATGGGGATTCACTTGTTTGTATGGACTGGTTGCTGGCATGCTGTGGCCCAGTGCCGGTCCATGAACCGAGCGTTGGGGACCTCTCAACTAAGGGATCTTGTAATCCCTGACACTGGCCATGCTGGCTACCTCATAGCAGTTGTAGCTGAAAACATCCATAGAGGGCACATTCAGTGGTGAGATTGAAATAATTTAACAACCGGTTCTCTGTCCTAATGATTTCTTCCAACAACCAGTTCACCAAACTGCTCAGAAAGTTAACAACCAGGTGCAAACTGGCTGAATCCCACCACTGAGCTCATCCCATTTGCACACCCAGGTAATAAGGCCATATAAGGCTGAAGCAGCTCAACTATTACTCATTGCCTGCTTTTTCTAGGTCCGTGATGGCAAGCCTATGGCAGGCGTGCCACAGGTGGCATGCGGAGCTATTTCTTAGAGCACACAAGGCATTGCCCTGCCAGTTCCAGCGCTGGCCAGCTGATTTCGGCCTTCATTTTCGGCCATTTTTTGCCCTCCGGAGGGCGAAAAACAACCCAACACCCAAACCGGAAGTTTGGGAATGGACTTCCGGTTTGCGTGTTGGGCTGTTTTTCGCCTTCAGGAGGCTTCCCTGAAGCCTCTGGAGGTTGAAAATGGCCCAACACGCAAACTGGAGGTCGGAAAACGGGCCGTTTTCGCCCTCCCCGGGCTTTAGAAAAGCCTCTGGAGTGTTGGGAGGGTGAAAATTCCCCCCCCCCACACACGCAGAGTGTCACTTACACATGCGTAGTGGGTGGGTAAGTTGCTTGCACATGCGCTGGTGGATGGGCACACGCATATGTGCAATAGCGCATGCATACACAGTTTTGGCACCCCTTAAGAAAAAGTTAGCCATCACTGTTTTAGGTAATCACAAACGTTGGCAGATGTTGATTGAGAATGCCCATATTGTGACTGGCTCTTGAGGAGTGGGGAAGTGGGGGGATTTGTATTGCTTGCTTTATTTGTCTTTGTGACTATAATAAATTCCGTGTTCTTTTACCACACTCCTAAATTTCCCCGGAGAACACACTAGCCCTCCTGTTTCAGCTGTTTCTGTCAGCAGGATGGCACAGCAGCTTTGCTTTTAGAGAAAACCACAAGTGGGCAATTTCTGTAGGAGGGCGAATAAATGAAGGTCATTTACAGAAAGCAGCTACTTTGCAAAAACATGCTGAAAAGATTCACTCGGTTCTTTTGAGATTGGAAACAATCCTGAAATCAGCAGACGTGAGCCCAAAGCATTCAATCTACGCATGAGGTGTTTATGCAATACACATCAAAACTTCCCCAGCATGTGTGTTTTTCAAGAAGCTAGAAAAGCTACCCCATGGTGACCCATTGCTTCTGACGCCTACAGCAATGCAAATGATAAGAAAGAGGTAAGACAATTATTTTTTTGGAAAGCTTCATTCCAGCTGGAGAAGCAACTCTTATGCAAGTATTGTGTACATAAATGAATCCTGGAACCACAACAGAATGAGAACAGTGATGTTCTACCTGTCCTCACAAGCAGATGTTGGCAACCTTTTAAGGCACTGTCCTCTACTCCCATGAAATGTTTTAATGGTCACATGACATCTATTCAGATTGTTAAATCTCACACAATCTCTGCTTTCTCAACCCTGTGATCTTATGAAATAGGAGAGTACTGAAATTTTAGAAGATCCCAGGTTTGAAAACAGCACTTAATTTGGAAGGTCATTTGATGCCATCTAAGAGGTGACAGATAGCAGGTTTTCACCTACAAAATATAGACCAATATTAAAGCCTTGGTTATGATTACTAATGGATCATTTTGCTTAGAATGTTAGGATGGGTGGGGTGCCTTCTGGTTTTGTATAATTTACATTCTAGCATCAAAGTAACCCTTTAAGATTTCCTATATGATGTTTATTAGGACTTACCATATTTTTTGGAGGAAAAGACACAACGGAGTAGAAGACGCACCAAGGCTTTGAAGAGGCAAATGGGGAAAAAAAGTTTTTGCACTCTGCAAAACCTCCCAAAAACAGCCCGTTTTTTTGCAAAAACAGGCCCTTAAAAAAAAAAAGCANACCAGGATTAGATTAAAGGGAACCCACTTTAAACCCAAGAGCTTATGATAGTCAACCAAACATTCCCTTTAATGTGGTCGGTCCTCCTCTCCTTCCTAATGTCATCATCAACAGGAGACACATCCACACTCCTTCGTTAAGTGCTCTGTATTCATCAACTGGTCGTTAAATAATTTGATCTTCACTTAGATCTGGGATGGGGAACCTATGGCAGGCAGAGCCCTCTCTTTGGGCACGCACACCATCACCAGCTGTTCTGGTTTCTGCCACGCATATGCACGCCGGCCAGCTGGTCTTCGTAGGTGCTGGAGCACCAGAAAACGGCCTGAAAATGGCCAAAATGGGCCAAAAAACAGGCATGTGAACGCCGGCCAGCTGGTCTTTTGAGTTTCTGATGCTCTGGCGCACACGCATGCACATTATGGTTTGGGCATCTGGTACCGAAAAGGTTCGCCGTCACTGACTTAGATCATGCATAACGTAAGGTTGCAATCAAGGTTGTATGAAAGGGAAAAATTAACAGCCAGTTACTAATTTGGTGCCTACGTATCACTATGCCAAGCCAAAGTGAAGCTGAGCAACTGGTATGGTACATAGAGGTAGTCCTCGACTTACGACAGGTCATTTAGTGACCGTTCAAAGTTACAACAGCACTGACGTTTTGCACACTTAGGACTTTTGCGGCATCCCTGTGGTCATCTGATCAACATTCGGATGCTTGGCAGCTACTCATATTTATGATGGTTGCAGTGTCCCAGAGTCATGTGCTTCCCTTTTGTGACCTGGGAAGCAAAGTCAATGGGGAAGCCACATTCACTTAACACCCATGTTACTAATTGCAGCGATTCACTTAACAAATATGGCAAAAAAAAGTGGTAAAGCGGCAAAACTCACTTTACAAATTTCCCGCTTAGCAACATAAGTTTGGGCTCAATCGTGGTCGTAAATCAAGGACTATCTGTACTACGCTCATCTAATTTCAGCTCTACTGGTGCAACTCCATTTGGTTAACTTACTATGTGATGCATTTGTGGATTAATCTGAGAGCCAGGTTCAAGTGTTGTGTGAATGCAGCCATGCTATGATCTGGATTAGCTACGGTTTTGGAAATCAAAACACAGTGATTCGCATGCAATTCACTATTTGGATTAATAGATGCCTCCCTAATACTGGGTACCAATTCAAAAGAAAAGGACTTACGAGTCTTTGTTCTGTTTCATTCGATGAATGTCTTTCAGAATGCCCATCATATCCGCAAAACTACTGGCCTTTGAGAGAGACACGGTGTCATCGTCGTCATCCGAATCCTTCGGGTCGGCTTTGTAACATTCAGAAGTTGTAGAACAAAGCATGGAAACAGATGGAAGTTCTGGACTTTCTAAGTCAGCCTCTTCTTCTGTGATATCACTAATGACAAAGGAAGTTGTAGACTGGAATGAGGGTCCAAAGCAGGGCAAGGGAGAAGACACGTTTGAACTTCCTGGAGATAACAATTCTGGCGTTAATGAAGAGGAAGCTGAAAAAAAAGAATAAGATAAGGAGACATGAACTGGCTGCCATATCAAGAGTTTCGTTCTTGCAATAGCAATAGTACACTTAAGACTTATATACAACTTCACAGTGCTTTACAGACCGCTCTAGGCGGTTTACAAAGTCAGCATCCTCCCCCCCCCAACAAACAAACAAACAAAAAACAATCTGGCTCCTCATTTTACCAATCTCAGAACGATGGGAGGCTGAGTCAACCTTGAGCTGCTGAGAATTGAACTGAGTCAGCCTGCAATACTGAATTCTAATCACTGCATTACCAGGGCCAAGGAAAGGAAGAGGGAAATAGCAATAGCACTTAGACTTATATAATGCTTCGCAGTGCTTTATAGCCCTATCTTAGTGGTTTACAGAGTCAAATATGGAATTATGGGAGTTAAAGTTCATAGGTCTTAAAGTTATTGAGGTCAGTGGTGGGATTCAAATTTTTTTACAACTGGTTCTGTGGACATGGCTTGATGGGTGTGGTGTGGCTTTGTGGGCATGGCAGGGGAAGGATACTATAAAATCCCCCTTCCCTCCCGATCAGCTGGGACTCAGGAGGCATAGAATAGATGGGGGCGGGGCCAGCCAGAGGTGGTATTTACCGGTTCTCCAAACTACTCAAAATTTATGCTACCTGCTCTCCAGAACTGGTCAGAACCTGCTGAATTCTACCTCTGGTTAAGGTTGAGAAAACAATAATCCAGAATCTACAGTTCCCCTCTCAGGATCCAGTTATCAGTGCCAGATAGGCAGAGACACAAAACACCACCCAAAGAGTCTTTTTTCCAGTAAGAACTAGGACTGCCTGCTTTGCATGCCAGAAACAGCTTCTTCTCATATGTTGTTTTAATAGCCTCTATATAAGAATGAAAAAAAGAAACCAGCAGAAAAATCTGCCTTTCAGCCTAGAAGGGCCACATTTTTCAGGCCACATGGGAGACAGGAGCAAATTCTAAAAAGACCATCTCTGTGTTCTTTTCAGAAGGTTCCACAGACACTTTGGCTTTAACCATGACAGGCTATTTGTAGTAACTGTATTACAGCTGCATTAAACATACTAGTTTCCCCAGTCTTCCAACTTTTCTGCTTTCAAGGGGGTAAACAAGTTGTAAGCTAAGCTCAAGTTTAAAAGGGCAGTAACATGACTAGCTAACAGGGTTTAATAGTTCTGGTATGGATGTTGGCCTCCGAGGCAGATAAGTTGGCACAGACCAGGGGTGCCAAACTCAAGGCCCGCAGGTCGAAACTGGCCCGCAACATGCTTAGATCTGGCCCGTAGGACTGCCCTGCAAACAGCGAAGGACCAGTCTGCAGTGCCTCTGCCAGTGAAAACAGAACTCATGAGGGCCACACGTGACCCTCCTGGGCTCTGTTTTTGCTGGCAGAGGGCTGCAGGATGTCAAGCTGGCCAGGCCCACCTTGGCCACGCCCACTCCCCAGCCCCCCGCAAGGTCAAACACAACCCTGACGCAGCCCTCAATGAAATCGAGTTTGACACCTCTGGCACAGACACTAAACAGACTAGCAAGAGAGGAACACAGCATCACTTCTGCTCTCACGTGCCTGCATGGGGCCTCTCATCACCAGCAACCATCAGATAAGTGTTTAAATAACAAGGCTGCTGCAATTATTCCAGGCCCAGACCACAGACTCTCCAAAGAGGAGAGAGATTGTAAAAGAGCGTAAACTTTAAAATATACCACAGTAGTTTACAAATTATGAAAGGCTGATCCCACTGAGTTCAACCTCTAAATTAGTGGCAGACAGTAAATTGGCTCTTAAGTTACAAGAGGATATGGTTTCTTGTTGAACACAGAAACATCGCAGATGCTCAGCACATGATCCCAGGATGTTACATCTGTTGTAAATAACATGCAGGTTGCCAAAGGCCTGAATTTCGATAATGTGATTGTGGTTGATGCTGCAATGCTCGTTAAGTGCAAGGAGTGGATATTAAATCCCATTTTGTTGCAACTTCAACCATTCATTCAAACGAATGGTTGTAAATCAAGGATTATCTGTGAAGTGTTGATATTCCGGCTAGGTTTCATTTCTTAGTATGATGCTTCCAATCATGAGATGCTGGGCATTTACCTGAATCTCCAGAAACAATTTTAGCAATCTGACTCCGCAGGTGACTCAATTCTTCCTGGAGTTCTGTGGTTCGACTCAAGGCAGGTAAACATGGTTTCCGCAGAGCCAACAATTTTTCTTCTTGTTTCCTCAGATTTGGGACCGAAGCATTCCGCTGAATAACAAAGAACGGAGTTGGTTTCCATCTGTGCTTGAGTGGACGTGTGTCTGTCCTGGAAGTCAAGAACCCAACATTTCAGTGAAACTGACCCTGATCAACAAGCAACAGCTATCCTGAATTGAAGGGCTGTGCAATGCAAAGAGCCTTTGCTTCACAGAGTGTTGTGACCGATGCTTCCCAAGAGCATGAAGCAGACTCTTGATCCCAACAAAAAACCCTTTTATTAATTTACTGTGAATTCTGCTCATTCACATCCAGCAAAGTCTTTCAAGGGAGGATTTACAGTCACAGACCTTATCTGG